TGCGCTCATCGTGATTTTTGCGACATTTACGGATAGAAACAACTCTTATTTTGCTCTAGCAAAAATTTGCGACTGGCCCATTATCTCAGTTTTCGGTGTGGTATTTCCCACTTTTTTGTATGTCTTCAGGGATGGCTCGTGATCATCATTGCACGGAATTTTTTGTGATATTTTTTGTCTTTTTAATCGTATTCTCTGGAGAGGAGGGGTATCGATAAGGACTATTTTTGGGCCCACTCTGAATTTTAACGACTCAACTCTCAATGCTCATTTAGGTCTGTATTTTACGAAATGCATCATTATTTGATCATTTTCGGTCTCTTTTCGGGGCTAATTCTGGGCCGAAATACGGGTCTAGGGGCCACTTTATCGGCATTCCACCGCAACCTAACCTAACCCTTATTTTTGCCGTAGCAACAGTTTGCAACAGGTCCATTAGTTTCGAAGTTTTATCATCGAAATGTATTTTAGCGTACTGATCGATTTCAGAGCCGACGCCTCCGACCTCCTGGGAGTGCAACGAGCGGTGTCACAAGGCGTTAGGATGCATCGACGATGAAGCGCCATGGGGTTTGCAATGGGTCGCAAACGGGCAACTAGAAGAGAAATGCCAGTGCCAATTCAACCCGGCATTTTTGGAATATTTGGAGAGCCGGTATATCAACAAGGAATCGGCCATAGAAACGCTTAGAGTAGGGGGGACTCGTAGAGTTCAGCGATGGTTGTTCGAAATGATGATTGATGTGACTCATAATTGCGAAAGTACAGCTCAGTCTCTCATCGAGGAGAAGCATAAACACCATATTCCAGGTGAGTCCCTGCCGTTTATTGAGTGATTAAAGCTGCGATGACCGGGCTACATCTGCTAGCTATCTTTTTAAGTGCAGACTACCGTAAAACAATCATGTTTCAACTACAAATAATACCAACATCAATGCAAATCACTCTTTGTTTTACGCCCCTGCTGATTTTTTACTGCCTTCCCATATACATTAGATCAAGATTTTTCGGTTTTCGGCTACTCATGATGCAAAAACAAAAGCTGAGCTATTCGCCGACTTAACACATGCAATGATTGCGACTCAGGCCATGCTTTAAGAAAAAAACAAAGTGCAAGAGGATGTTAATATATTTACAATTTTAGCTTATCATGGTGGACACGCATATATTTGTTAAGTCGGCTTAAAGCTCAACTTTTGTTTTTGCAACATCAGACCTATCCCGTTTCCTTAGTAATTTACCTTCTGAAATTGGACTGCATTTTGCAATTTGGAACTATAAATTCTGGCCCGGTTTAAAAACAAAGCATGTGCCATTAGATTCCCTATGCACTTAAGTGTTTTTTCAGATGAGCCAGAATTTATAGTTCCAAATTGCAAAATGCAGTCCAATTCATCGCCACACCCTGCAATCATCTTAAATTTTTGGTTCAGACTCTCTCCTATTCTACTCTCCTCCAGCTCCAGACTGGTATTAAGGGGATAAGGGGGAATTTTGCTGATGCTTACGAATAGTTTTTCTTTGTAATGGGTATTTCTGTCACATAGAGACAAGCACCAATGGCTATACCGCGTAATAACAACTTCCGAACCTAGTTTCGTTCACTTTTATGTTAGATCATAGGCTCGTACATCATGTCTATTGATAAACACATGGCGCAGGTTATCACTCAAATCAGGCATTTTTTCAAATGCCCGAGGCACATTGACGATGTATATAGATCTAAAAAGTTCCAATTGTTTTGAAAAAAGTGTCTCGACGTTTCAGCTTTTTGAAAGAGACGTTGAACAAAGTATGACAGTAACACGATACCAATTTTCTAGGAGGAGAATAAACCAGTGTCTTAGGGTCATCTAGGCATCACACGATAGAAAACATGATACGTAAACTATTTTGTAACTAAACGATTAGTTTCGAATCAGAAAAAAATTAATTCAGTACCGGGCATTCTTTCTCCTCACGTGGAAATATCCTTCATTTATAATGAAAAGCTAAAATGATAAGCGTGCCAATTTACTTTTCGTTTCATATGACGAGATTTGCACTTAATACAACTGCAAAAATACGTTGCCAAATGTGGCGACATTCTTTCTAATGACTTTTTTCGCTTCAAAATAAACATTTCAGTTCAACATAGTAATTTTGTTGAACATTAGAGACCCCTTTCGGCAAATATTTCAAAATAATCCATGTTCAGTAATGATTTACTGACGCAAGTTGCTCTTTTCCTTCAAAATCGGGGTTGGCGGCGCGTAACCGACCGGACGTTTTCGGCCTTTCAAGTCTCATATTATTAAATACAATCATTATTTATCATCCTTTATAGCATAGATAAGTTCAGGGACATCATTCCTATTGATTTATCAACTTGGTTTTCAATCGTTTTGCCCTAGGCTTCATAGCCCACGGCGCGACACGATTATTCCCATTATCGTGAAATCACCAACATGGGAGCTCACCCAAAGGAACCATATCCATTTTGACATGAGCCCTAGGATCCATAGGAGCACATGCATGACAGGACTCAAGTGACAATGGATACGATTCCTTTGGATTTAAACGCGTCCAACTCTTAACACCACAATTCGTTGAGAAGCTGCGGGAGTATGGTTGCATTAAATCTGGTGGTGTGATTACTCCTCCAGCGATACTAACTTAAAAGCAAAAAAATAGCTGGAATTATGAAATGTGCATTCGATAAATCCGTGCGTGACAGGTTGACAAACCAATTTGCGTCTCAAACATGACTATCCACATTTTAAGAATAAAAAACCTCATCTCAAAATAACGTGCATACTTATCGCGTCGGGTAAAAATGTATCACATAAACCTCAATGCCTTGATATCAGAATCTAAATTGGGATTTTTTCCCCCTTTCAGGCCGCTTCTTCGCTTTAAATTCTGAGTTCACGTTGCGACCACAAAAACACGTATCTCGACTTTGCCGTTATAAAATATTTCCTATACAGTCTTCAGGGCGGAAATTACAAGTCTTCTTCTCGATGGAGAATATAATTGGAAAGGATAGAAAAATCCCACTAAATTTCGTGTAATAATGATAATCGGTCATCTTTCAAGGCAGTAAAAGTTATTAGAACGCCGAAATTCAAGACGCATGGTTTTATAGTCTCACAATCATTAATATAAACTTCGAAAGATTTCACCTTTTCACTTTTTCATTGATTTCACCTTTTATTCCGTCCGGCATTGCCGGATTGTGCGATAATGTGAATATTTTAGATGGGTTTGAAAGGGGAAAAGTACTGGAAAAGCAGCATATCTGGCAACATTAGAGTCTGGAAAGGACGAGAGACTTCCCTCCTGGGAAACCCCAAGATTTATCCGGAAATGTCATTAAAAAAATTGGTTCCGTCAGAAGCATCAGATGTATTCTAGGGAAACCGGTTTTAAAATAATAATTGTAAGTAAACACAGATGCTACAAAGTAGAAAAAATGAAAAGGAAAAGAGACGATAATAAAACGTGAACAGTTCTGTTTTTCTAATTTCTTACCTTCAGCACATATATTTTAGACGATTTTTAGTAGATATTCATTGTTTTCTCTTTCAAGAAGGTACTTTACGTAATGCAGTGCTTGACCCCCTCCCCATCATTCCCTTCAGGAAGGCGCCTCTTGACCCAATCCCCCCCCCTGAATGCCTCACTTGATATATGGACTTAATAATTGGGGGTGCCTCTGAATATAAAAAAAGAAAGGGGGTCCTTCTGAGGATTCGTCTATAATCAGCGCACCTCGCCGGTTCCGATTGATATTTGCTGAAAAATGGGCTCTTAGAACCAATTCTAACCTACGTCAGGTTTGCTTGACTCTTCTTTCTCCTTAATCAGGTCAAGGAGGTCTTGATCCCCTTCTTATCTCACCTCTTTTTCTTCTTTTTTTTTTTTTTTTTTTTTTTTTTTTTTTTTTTTTTTTTTTAAAAAAAGATATAATTACTTATGCAATCAGAGAGAATGAAAGAAAAACATCAGAGAAATTTGTACGGAATGAAACTATAAGAAAAAAACACAAGTGAGCTCATGGCGATTCGGAACTCGAACTATACTATCGTTTAGCAGTTTTTAGACCTCTGCGGCACCTCTTCAAAAGTAAAGAGGGACTTTTGCTATTTCAGTGAGTCAAATCGCGATGTCAATCGTGAATCGAGATCCACGGTTGTCACTTTCCTCCACCCGAATGGGACTGACGTCCCATCGAAAAGCGATTTTGTAGAAATGATCGATACCATCATTGCTTCATCTCCGCATATTTATTAATGTTCTAATGATGGAACGTTCCGGTAACAAGTTTCTGTGACAAAATCATTTTTGTCTTGGGAGTCTCCAAAATGTACACGTCATAGTGATCAAATGTTCAACTACTTAGAAAAATGGTTCGCGGAGCGTGCCGAGTGTTACTCTTGTAGCGAATGAGTGAAGAACCAGGGGGCGCAGCCCCCTCGTATAATATACTGGTGGAGCTAGTTTAATCAGACCTTGCTATAGGTCTCTATGATAACATGAGTGGCAGTAAATTCTTAAGATGAAAAGATAGAGAGATGACAAGTGACCTATTTAGATAGAAGTGTTAACATACATGGAATAAGCTCATTGTGTAAAAAACCTGTGCCCTACGGTGGAAACTAAAATTGTTCATACGGATACAAAATCCGTCTCGGGTCAAAAATAATCGATGAGGAGAAGTAATCGGGTGAAAGTATCAATTTTGTTTTCGGTGCTGAACACTTTTCAATATGTACTCTCAAGAACTTTGAGCGACTCCAACATGGGCGGATCCAGCAACTTGGCCAGACCGTATTTCCTCCATTTAAACCTATGATAAATAATCGATTCTTGTTGGAGCACCTGGCCCCTCCGAGAATCGATACATTTTCACAGGTTTAAAGGAGAGAGAACAAGGTTACTGATTTGGATCCGCCGAAGGGTGACAATGGAGAAATGTTTGAAGGAGTGCGAGACATCCTTATTGTTCTATGCTTCAGATGGGGATGGATTGAGCTGTACAGAAAACTGCTCGAAGGTATTTGGGTACATCAAAGGTTCCAAAGGCACCCGCATTCCAATCGCGATCGGGGCCATCAAAGAAGTAAAAGGCTCAGAGAAATGCGAGTGCCGAATCAGTTCCCAGCTGAAGGCTCTACTGGAATCCAAAGGGCGCAGTCGCAGCCAATTGAAAAAAACATTGAATGAAGTCGACACCCAGATTGGCGCTGAAGAAATACTTAAAGTCGTCGAATTGGTGAAGATCCACACAGGCCAAAAGGTCCAATTCCCAATTACAGGCTCAGTTTCTGGCGGAAAAAAGATAAGTAAGTTATTGAACGCTTCATCATAACCTGCAACCTTTTCATGTGACTGCCTTTTCGCCAGTGAAGTTTATTGTGCGATGAACTTTGGGATGAAGAGTATTTTTCATCGTAAGGGCGGAGAAAACATGGGAGCTCGACTGGATTATATTTATTTTATTTTTTTTCTAATTGAGGGAGCTTTTCCGCGCAAGCTGGATGTGAGTAAATCAAAAGAAACCACAATCATTTTGATAAAAGCCGTGAGATCCATATGAGTACATGATGCATGTGCACAAGAGTAGCGGGTCTCAAATCACGATGGGTAGACTTTCTTATCTTACGATTTAAATGCGTCCAAATTTGAATACCACACTTCGTTGAAAAACTGAGAGTATCCTTGCATTAAAGCTGGCGAGGTTACTTCTCCAGTGATGCTAATTTAAAAGGAAAAAATAGCTGGAATTATGAAACGTTCATTCGGTACATCCGTGGGTGGCACGCCAATTTGCGTCTGAAACATGACTATCCACATTTTCAGAAGATAAACCTTATCTCAAAATGCCTTGATCAGAATCTGTTTTTTCCCCTTTTTTTTTTGAGGCCTTTTAGTTTTGAATTCTGAGTCCGCGTTGCTACCACAGAAACATTTATCTCGATTTTTCTGTTTTAAAATATCTCCAACAGTCTTTAGAGTGGAAATTACAAGCCTATTTCTCAATCGAGAACATAATTGAAAGGATTGAAAAATCTCACTTTTTGTGCATGAATGATAATAGATCATCCCTCAAGGCAGTAAAAGTTATTGGAACGCCAAAAATCAACACGGATGGTTTTGTAGTTTCACAATCAATATAAATTTGTGAATCTGCCAGGTGCAATTTGCCCAACGGTGGAAACTAAATTTGTTCATACAAGGAGAAAATCGGTTATAAGGACAAAATCGGTTTTGGGTCAAAAGTCTCAAAAGTATCGATTTTGTTTTCGGTGATAAACACTTTTCAATACTCTCATGAAGTTTGATCGGCTACATTTGAGCCGAAGTTTCAAGTTATTATTTGCATTATTGATGACGTTGTAAGCATTTACGTGAATCGTCCCTGAGAATTGCGACAGAACTGAGAAACTTTAACATCAGTTTTCTCAAATTTTCCATTGTACGTTTTCAAATTTGATTTGTTGTCAAAACGTCCACGGAAAAAAAGAGGTAAGGGTCAAGCTCCAACTTGGACATTTCCTATTACTGGGTCACTTAACCATGGACAAATTTTGAATTGCCAATACATTTTTCTGAAGATAAATGATGTGTAGAACAGGGTGCGCGCATTAAATACGCAAAAATATAACTCAGAAATCGAGAAACGCGCTATTAAAATAGCGCAACTTTTCCGCAAATTTAAAAATCCCCGGTTTCGCGCCAAACCGAATGGACTCAGCACCAATCAGAGGCGAGCACGGGTTTCGACGACTTTCGTCAAATGTCTTTCCACTCCTCGCGTTTGAAAAAATATGAAAGTCGCAACTATATCTTCCGAGTAAAGGAATCGAATCTCCATCATTTGACCTACAGTTAACAAGCAACGATTCCAATTTGAAATGCTTTTTATTTTGAAAAATATCAGAGTAAAATTAGAGGAGGTAGCGATTTGACTGCCATGTAGCTCATACCGTTCCTAAAAATGGCGACAGCGCAGCGCTCGCAAACTTCAACATTGGTTTTCTCGAATTCCCCTTCTTCCATTTTCGAATTTGAATTGCTATCAAAGCCTTGGCTTTAGAATTTTTGGATGAATTGGTGCCTAGAACGATGAACAAGACGTTCCGACGAAATGGACTACATTTTGCAATTAGGAACTATAAATTCCGGCCCGGTCTAAAAACAACATATGTGCCATTAGTTTCCCTATGCACATACGTGTTTTTTCAGATGAGCCAGAATTTATAGGTCCAAATTGCAAAATGCAGTCCAAATTGCGTTGGAGGGCGCTTCCCTCGGTGGCAGGAGGAAGTATTATAGTCGAACATACTTTTTCAGTCAAATAAAATATTAAAAAAAAATTGTAAAAAAATTCTTCCGGGCGAGGGATTCGAGCCTTGACCTCCGGCGTTTAAGCCGAACGCGGAGGCACTCGGCCACACTGAGCGGGAAACAACAATATTTAACTTAAAAAAATGTATGGCCAGTCAATTTTCCTAAAACATTGATTCCTGCTGCAAGTTTTCTTAATACTTTTTTCTTACTCGTTTTTGGTCCCATAACAGTTAGTCCTACGAGAGAGATGCCCTACTGGATATTTTCCTAAGGGCATTTGTCCTAATTTCAATTTTAAAAAATAACATAGGTACCTCACAAATTAAAGTTGTCGACAACTCCATCCTCCTCTTTGTATTGAGCGGTGCATAACGTTTGCGCACACTTTTCACGAATATAATTTGCGCACACTTTTTACCGATAACGTTTGCGCACACTGCACTATTTGGCAACGCTGCAATGATGCTACGCGTGTCACCTTTTAAGCTTCTCCTTCTTGATTTTGAATCTGCAGCTCACAATTCCGCTAAACGTGCTTTTTCAACCGTTAAAATAAGGGGCTGTAGATTTCATCTTGGTCAAAGTTGGTGGCGGCGTATTCAAAAATATCCAAGGCTACGCTACGCATTCACCCGGAAGGAAAAAAAAAGGAGAGCAATTGGAACTTCAACAGTGGCTACGTTTATTTTTTTCCTTATCTTATTTGCCCCCCGATGATGTTCCCACTGCATTTTATGAACTGGGCGCAACTGCACCTAATGTAAACGGCGTTTCTCAATTTCTTAGTTACATTCGGCGAAATTACATTGATACATTGTTCCCACCTGATGTGTGGGCAAGCCCTCTCACTTACGACGCTTGCACGACACCAAATGACGTTGAAAGCTTTAACACCAAGCTTTGCGGGGAGTTTTACTATCATCATCCGAATGTCTACGAAGCCTCTCAACAATTTTTTAACGCTCAGAATATAGTGTCTTTGAAAATTAAATCTGTGCGAAATGATGAGGTGTTCACTAAACGGAATGATCAACAAAAAAAAAGATGATGAAATTATTGTTTTAACCAATTCGTATCTCGATAAGGACCTGAAAATTACGGAGTTTCTGAGTTTCTGATTGCGTATTGGAATTTATTTAAATGAAAATTTTCCCTCGTCCGTTTATAAATTATATCCGTCCGTTGAATTGTCTTATCACGAAGCGATACTATTGACGCATCATTGAAGCGTTGCCAAATAGTGCAGTGTGCGCAAACGTTATCGGTAAAAAGTGTGCGCAAACGTTATGCAGCCGTATTGAGGGTATAGAAGGCTCGGATTGTGCAGTATCATAGAATAAAGAGACTAACGTCAACAGAAGCGAAAGCCGCCATTTTCATACCAACGAAGCATAATGAAGGGAAGCTGTTTCGATAAGTACTGTTTACGTTTGCGGCAGGTCGACGTTTAGGAGAGGTCGAATAATAACGGATACATACGTTTTTAGGAATTGAAAGAGTTTTCTTCAACCTTATTTATCGTTGAACCGGAGAGGCACTGTGAATTCGCTTAAAATTTAAGGTTTTTTTCCACTTTTATATTAGCAGGTAACCTCGACGTTGGTTTCAGTAAGTACCGACCCTGAGAAGAAAAATGTTTGCAGTATCCTGCTCGAGCGATTACATTCGTCTCGCCGCGCCGCGCCGAGAAAACTTTACTCCTTTGCTCAAAGAGACCTCCTTCATCATCCCTCTGATGTCCTCTTGTTCCTTTCTTAGCTCTCCGAGTCGGCGATAGAAGGAAGAATGATGCGTTCCGACTAAATTGTTAAATCGGCAATGCCAGCCCTCCGTCACATTCATCGTTCTTGGCTCATTATTTACAGCTACGGTGTACTGATTCCACAATGGAGATGTTGCACGTGTGAGGGATTTGCGATTTGACTGTTAACTCTTATGTAATAGTTCGCGAGAAACACGATGGTGCCACTGGTTTTCTCTGAAATCAACTCCCAAGCTCAAAAAAAGCTCTCAAGTTGAAGCCAAAATGAAGGGGATATCCCGCCCTACCCTGAGAGTCCACCTCTACATCAAAACAAACTCTCCATGCAAAGATAGAGAGCAAATACATTGACAGGGTTGCCGAGTTTTCAGTTTTGGAGTCTCCAAATAAAGTGGCTGCCCTGTCAATGTATTTGCTCCCTACATTCGCATGGAGAGTTTGTTTTGATGTAGAGGTGGACTCTCAGGATAGCGTGGGATATCCCCTCCATTATGGCCTCACGTTGAGAGCTTTTTTTGAGCTTGGGAGATGATTTCAGAGGAAACCAGTGGCACCATCGTGTTTCTCGCGAACTTTTACATAAGAAACGACAGTCAAATCGCAAATCCCTCACACATGCAACATCTCCATTTTGGCGGGTACTACGTACGGTGTTTTCGAAATCCATCAATAATGATGCCTCTCATTTAAAACTATATCGAAATAAGCCGCTACAGGAACAACATCATCAGAGGTAGGGTAGAGTAGGTTATAAAATCTACAGGCCAATAGTGAGGGTGTCTTCTAGAGACCAATGTAAGTTGCGAGGTTACGCCAGGAAAGTTTTAATTATTATTTGGACAAACACCCGTAGGAAAAAAGCCAGTGGGACATCTCACTCGTAGGACTTACTGTAATGAGACAAGAAGCGAGTAGCAAAAAAGTATTAGGAAAACCTGGTGTAAGAAAAAAATAATCAGGAAAAATGACCTAGCACCTAAAAATTGACTCGCAGCTCAGAAATGAGGAGGCGCGTTCAGAAATTGCGTATACGCTCAATGGCCGCATGCTTCACAGCTGTTTCGAAGCTCCACCTTAACGTCTTCGCCCAATGAGATTGGCCTTGAGGCAAATTAATATTTGGAATCTCATGAATTATATCAATCAATTGTTTAATATTAACGTCTGATTTCGGCTTAATAGACGTGATGGGTTCTCTAGAGCAATTTTCCACCATGTACATTGCTCGTTATTTTTTTCTTTTATTCTTGAAATTTGAGATTGAAAATGGCGGCCGCCACTGTCCACTAATATACAGGCAATTCAATTAGAAAATGAAACAATCACAGTAAAGCACAGCAATAGGTCACTAAATGAAGTGATCACCTGACTACTTCTAAATCTTTCGAATTTACTCCGAAAGTACGGATCGGATACAAAAATTTAAGCATGACGGGGACCTTAAAATGGACTACATTTTGCAATTTGGAACTATAAATTCTAGCCCTGTTTAAAAACAACGTTTGTGCCATTAGTTTTCCTGTGCACATAAGTGTTTTTCCAGAGGAGCCAGAATTAATAGTTCCAAATTGCAAAATGCAGTCCAAATGATGTTACCCTGTAATAAATCCGTGCAAAATTTTTTGGCACCGAATCCGACATTCTACGCATATTTTCAGAAAAAACAGATAACAAACAAGATCAACATATCACCGCATGTGCCAAAATGGCGTATCTCCCATGAGACAACACGCTTTGTCCCAACGAGGAGTCCAACGGCTGGAGAGCCGTCCGGTACCAACCATCTGGTAAACCAGAAGCGCCCAAAGAGCAAACCCTACAAGCTGTGATATAGTTATCTTTTCTTCGCTTCCACTTTGAGGTGGATTTTGCCCGTCGGTGTCATAATAAATATATCATGTCAATTGATTTCAGAACGAGAGCATGGGCTCAGCGAAGAGGAATGCAAAGACAAGTGCCGCAAGGAGGCCGGGTACCGCTTAGTCGAGACAAAAGATAAGGTAGTACGGGCATGGATCACAGAGGGGTATATTCGTCCGTCACGGATCTTGCCGGGAACGAAAAAATGCGAGTGCAAGAGCAGTGAGGTTCTTATGAATTACATGTTTCGCAAGAGGATCGACAAGCAGAAATTCGAATCACTCCGCCAAAACAAACAGTGGGAGGAAATGAAGAAATGGTTGAACCAGCATGACCTATCTTTATCGGTACATGGACAGGAAAGGGGTGATGATGAGGATGAAACGAGCTGTACACAAAAATGTGGGAACTCGCATGGGTACATAGAAGGAGAGACCCGAGGCTCCCAGATTTTCCTCATGATCGGGGAAATCAATGATAACAAATTCATTAAGGTACAAGAACAGCTACAAAGAGACGTGGCTGATTGCGAGTGCCGGATCAATCCAATCCTGGAGAAACTACTGAAATCCAAGCATCTCAACGTCAGCGAATTCGAAAAGGCAAACAAAAATTTCGAAGCCGAAAAATGGCTGCTCGATCACATACACAAACGAGTCCACTTCCCGGAGCCGAAAAAATCCTTAGAAGGTAACACTATATGGGCTGCACTTAGCAAAAAGGAACCAAGAGCATTCCTAGGATTGTGTAACCAGCATTCTCCGCAATAAAATTACCGAGATCATGCAGACAATTTTCACAAAGGGAATTTTCGTCTTGAATTTATGATTGATTGGGAGTAGGGATGAAACTTGTTTCGATAACTGATCATTTTATATACGTATTCAAGGTAAAAAAAAAGGGTGCACAATCTCAGCGACACTGGAATGCTCTTGATTCCTTTGTGCAAAACTGAATTCATTGGTAAGCAACCTAAATGCGCGTAACAAAAGCATGAGATCCCAAAAAAACTTGTGTGTTCTTCGGTCTTCCCCGAGAATTTTTCAGAGAATACGATTTAATCCATCGTACAGGAGAATTTCGAAGAAAACTATTCAAAAATTTCCTTGGGACTGAAATTTTTAGATGGAGAAATTCTGCTACATTCAAATTTCCATAAGGCGTTTTTCCATAGCAAGACACCATTGTGGAGCATGCCAGGTCTGTGTTGGCATGAAAACAATAAAGAGAAAGAAAAAAAACAGGGGAAAAAAAAAGATGGGCCGATGGCTCAAAATTTTGTAAGACTTTTAGTTACTTTTCTATATGTCTAGATAAAAAAAGTCTGATTTTGACAACGATTGCTAATCTGCATTGCACGTTGCGTAATTTGAGATTAAATCTTTTTACACATTTCCTTGTTCCTGGATAGTTTCGCCAAGGGCGATGAAAAAGTTGGTAAACACAACACAGAGACGTGTTGCACTGTTTTTGCAATGGTAAACCTATAAAAATTAAGAGAAATGGGAAGTTCCAAAATTGTTATTGATCGAATCCATTAAAAGCAACTGTCACACAGGTGCCACGTTTTTTCAACACACATTCATTTGCTTGATGGAAAAATTAAACGAGTTCATGCATCAACAACGTTGTTCTGCTAAATCAGTTATCGATGACACAAAAGCACCGCAAAAGGCTTTAAGCTAACGTTCCATAAGGATTCTTCTGAAGGGCGGAACTGCTTAAGGTGATTCGATGGACGCCATATTTTGTGTCAGAACGGCATGCGATATATCGCATCAATTGGTTCCATTATTTCAGCTACTCGTCATTTTTCTCCAATTTTGAGATCGCAATTCTGTTGTTAGGAGACTAAAGCACTCACTTACCAATTTTAACAAAGAAATTCAACGTAATAAAGGCGTGGTTTTTTCAGAGAGAAAACATCGCATTCGATACTGATATCGAAACTGCACTTGATTGCGATATTTCCTCTCTAAAAAAACCACGCCTTTATTACGTTGAATTTCTTTGCTAAAATTGGTAAGTGAGTGCTTTAGTCTCCTGACAACAGAATTGCGATCTCAAAATTGGAGAAAAATGACGAGTAGCTGAAATAATGGAACCGATTGATGCGATATATCGCATGCCGTTCTGACACAAAATATGGCGTCCATCGAATCACCTTAACTTTTACTAATTCAAAATTATCTCAACCTTTTTAAACTTAAAAAATTAACTTTTTTCTCACTTGCGACTGTAAATGAGAGTGGGCGAATGCGGGTGAGAGGGAGGGTAGCCAACCTTTAAAGTTTATCACCTGCTCCAGATGTTACCGGCCCTCCAGTAGCAGATATACAAGATCAATTCAACCGCAAAATCACTTACCTCGATTGCGCTTTTTAAATCGATCCCTTCTATTGAAAAAGAATACTTACGAAATTTTGCTAGGAGCAGTGAGTATTCTTGACAAAGTAGGAAAAGATCACTCTAAAGGTCCGATACAGTGGCGTGGCGTGCTTTGCGATATATCGATTGATCTGCCATTTAAACCAATGTAAAAGGATCGATCAATAGGGTGTTCGCAGCGAACACCTTAATGATCGATTATTTACCACAGCTTCAAATGGGGAAATATCGATAGATCGCAAAGCACGCCACGCTACTGGTCCGATAATGATGATCAATCACCCCTCCAAAAAATAGAACCTGCTAGGGAAAATGCAGCGACGCCAAAAGCTGAGAAGCGTCATTTCGTGTTTTAACGATCAAAATGTACTTTACTTTCAGGACCCAGAGATTTGCTGACCGTGAAGGGATGTGAGGAGCATTGCCTTGAAAATGAGGGTTACATCGGATTCGGACCATTCAATGCGAATCGTTTAAAGGTCGCAAATGGTAAAGTGGTGGAAGACTCACGCACGGGGCCGAAATGCAATTGCGAAATCAACGGGGTGTTTATTGATTATTTGAAAAAGGAGGGCCTGGATTCTAAAGAATTTGAGGCGCAGCGCAAACTAGGGAACGGAAAAGAATGGTTGAGATACCACAAGATCGTAATCACGTACAAACAAGCATCATCTCCTGTTACACAGAGACATCAACATCCTCCATCTCCGGCGAAACGGGAGCCTCATCCTCTTCCGCTTCCAAGTGAGCAGAAGAATCAACATCTACCTAAAGAGAAGAATAAGTATTCAAGACCTCCAACTGACCACGCGCATAACCGTCAACTACCTCCACCTGAACAGAAGAACAGGGTGCAAGTGCCCGCCAAACTAAGAATTCCTGATTAAACTGAAACCTATATTAGAGGAAACTGTTTACAGATCATTCGAGGCGGCATGGAAAGACCACTTCCGAAATGGTCTAGATGTTTTGCGTAATCACAACTTCGAAGTCCTTTACGATAAGCCCGAAGCGGAAAGCGAGAACAGTTCCCAAAGACACGAAGTACTAATAGCAACAACAAAATAAAAGGTTACGGAGCCAATGTCACTGGGGAAATCATCAAGTATGTTGCTGGTGAAATCCTGCATGGTAAATAAATTCGAAAAGCCTGCAATTCGTATGACAAACATACTTAATTTGCTGGAATTCATACACACACAATCATGTAAAGAAATAATGGGTCACTAAACCTTGCTTGAGTTTTGATTTAACATTCTGAAAGTACCATAAGGGTGGTTTCACGATAACTGGAATAGCTTTGTCGCCGTAACCGACAACACATTTTTCGTCATATTTTTAGAAGTAATGATAATAACTCGAATTTTTTGCATTAATCTACACAAGGTTACGTGTTACGACGCTTTTCAAGGATTTGTCGCCCTACTTTTCAATTTCAATATATATAAATGGCCGAAAATGTGCTGTCTGTTACGCTGACTTTTTACCGCGTAACAGACAGCACATTTTCGGAATTTACATAATATTAATTGAGAGGTAGAGCAAAAAATCATTAGAAAGCGTTATAATACGCAACCCTTTCAAGATTAATGCGAAAAAATTTAAGTGATTATCATTTTTACTAAAAATATGAACGACAAAACTATTCCAATTATCGTGAAACCACACATAGGAGTAGATACGTCGTGATCTATTCCGTGTTTTTGGGAACAAAATCCCGGACAAGGCCGCTTTCAAGAAGTCCAAAGACTTGAAGGGATTCGGAATGGAGGGAAAATAATGGAAGTGATGTACTGCAGCGGTCAAATCGCCATCTCCTCGATTTTTTCATGCTTGTTAAAATGAATCGTATTTTCAAAGAATTTTTGCTCGTTTACGACCGATAACGCGAATGAAAGATTCTTCGGTTCTGATGATATAATTCCGAATTTCCTATTTTTTTTCACAAATGAGGAGTAGATAAACATTTGACAAGGGTCGTTGAAGCCCGCGCTCGCTTTTGATTGGTGCCGGATGACATCATTCGGTTCGGCGCAAAATCGGGGCGGTTTAAATTAATGAAAAAGTTGCGCTTTTTGAACAACGCTATCTCGGTTTCTAATTTTCTTTTTTGCGTTTCGAATGTGCGCATTGTATTCTCCGCTTCGTTTACCTTTGGAAAAATGTATTCGCAAGTCAAAATTCATTCATGGTTTAGTGACCCATAGTTCCATAGACCCATAGACCCATAGCTAAAGAAATACTCCGTACACATATTCAGACGTCGACAAAATCCTCCTGATTGAATGAAACACTTTCCGCAAACGTGTGTATTTTTTCTCATCAATTTAAGTATTCATCGTTTTTAAACATTTCAAGGAAAAATATTCATAACTTTTTTCGAGACTGAATATTCGAAGGAAAAAAATGGGCAACATTCTTATTTTCATACTCTATTTTTCGATAGCAAGACAGAGTTTGGAGGCGTGCAATTTATAGTGCAGGAAAAAGAACCTGGTTTGTGAGCATAGCAGTTTAGATTAATTTTCCTTTCAATTTTCATCGGTTTCAAAATTACATGGACTGGTTTCTTTCTCTGGTACCGAGTGCGATGATTCGATCACTCACATACAAGACGTCTACATAGGATTTGCTCTTTTAAAAATCATTGCATGAGGATCATTTGAAATACATTTAGATCACATCGCAGCACCAAATGACTTTACAACCTTAAAACAACTTAGGAGTTTTTAAGTCATTAAGAAGTTCTAGAGATTCCATCGATAATAATTTTTTTTTTTTTTTTAAATTGAAAGTTGCATGCCATACCGTGCCAAGTCATGCCGATACTCATGAAAATTTAACGGAATATTATGCATTTCTCCGCATTGGAATTCTCTCATACCTATTCCACTGTTTTCTCTAACACTTTCGGACATATGTTCTAACTTCCTCATGTTATTATTTTGCCGAGTGTTGTCACCGTCAGATAGAGATGGCTCATGTAAACTCTAAATGTTCTTCGTTTTACTAAAATATAAAAGAATAAATAAATAAATAAAAAAAATAAGTAAAAAAAAATCAAGGGTGTAGAAAATACAACAATGCGTACTTCTGGATCCCTGGTTATGGTGGAGGCGAAGGCAGTTGTAAAAGTTATTTTAGTAGCGCCTGTTTTTTTAATTATGTATTCTTCCCTGGAGAAACTGTTCAACTTAATCACGTTTTTACGTCAAATTCCACTTATCGTTCAAACATTTTTGCTCAATGCTTCTTGTGTGCGAAGTACCCATTCATCCACGGAGAAAAAAACTTCGTGCGTGGGTCATATGGATCTCTGAAGTTTTTGGACCACGTGTCTAAAAAAACTTGAGGTCCAGCTGCCGAAGCTCGGGTCAGGCATCTGAAACACTTCGATATAAACCGAAGGGTTCGGGTCACACATCTGAAGTACACCGGTACATACCGAAGTGCCTCGATGTCTGACTCGAACTTCGGTAGCTCGACCTCAAGTTTTCAGACGCGTGATCAGAAAACTTCAAAGTTCCATATGACCTCCACTTCGGGTCCCATGTACGAAGTTTTTTTCTCCGTGCCGTATAACACGAACCCTATGCATTGCTTCATGATAGAATGTCATGTCAGAATAGCTGATATTCTAGCTCTAGATTATTGTGTATCATTGGCATGACGATTCATTCCGTGCTGTACTGTCGAAAGGTACTGATGTTACCACATCTTAAATCTCAAGTAGTAATTAAATCATTTCCTAGTGATAAATAAAAAGGTTCGTGCGGAGAACGCTCTCCAATCTCCATGCAACGTCCGTACGTTGGAACCCGCGGCGTGCTTTGCAATTTATCAATTAATCTGCCATTTAAACCTATGGAAAAGGATCGATAAACAGGGTGTCCGAAATGAACACCTTAATAATCGATCCTTCACCATAGCTTCAAATGGGAAAACATCGATAGTCAATTATTCACGCCTCGCTATTGGGTGACGTGTACATTTCCCCTTTTAGAGAGATACCTCTGCACTGAAAAACGATAATTGAATTTGAGGTCAGTGCGTACTTCCCTGCATTTCGTGAAATTCCTTGAAAGTGAGGGGGGTTCGGAGGGCAATCCCTAACATCCCCGGTGAGTTAGGAGGGAAAATGCACACCTACACAAATATTACAAATCTGTACATTAAAAAACAAAAAACGACGAAGGGGTAAAAAATCTTTCCCCTTGTCGGAAGCTACAGCGAATGATCGATTAACGATATTTCCCCATTTGAAGCTATGGTAAAGAATCGATTATTAACACGGAGAAAAATGATTGATGAGGATGACAATGTCAAACATGGTTGTACGGCTTAGGATGCGTGTAAATAAAAAAGCTGTTATCGCAGTAAGGCTGCAATATGAGAGACACACAGCCAAAAGTCATTATTACAATGTCCAATTTGTTGACAAAAAGAACGTTGCATCAACAGGAGAAATGCCGATCGTCACAATGTGGCATTGTTATTCTCACGCACAGTTTGAATGCCCCGCGCTATCTTCATTTCAACAATGCCAGCTCTGTTGCCGCGCACGATGCTTTTGATCGAATTCACTTTTTAAGGAGTGTGATTGCAATGATGTAAGATATTCATACCGCAGCAAAGTGATGTTTGTTTCTCTGACATAACAACACTGAATTTCCTACATGCGATGTGATCATTTCTATATTACCTCTTGTTAACTGAACATCATGACAGTCAAATTTAAGAGTTTAATGAAATTCACATTAAAGAGTGGAATTCACACAGCGTATACAATTTTTTATAAGTACTGCAGTCAGTATACCAAGCTATTTATGGTGTACCTATTATAAAATTGTCAGCTTTCATAGGGCGGGGTAGAAAGAGGGAGAGAGAGATAAGCTAAAAAGAAAACCCAAGGGTTGGATTTTTTGTCCCTCCATATGTCTCGCAGAAATTTTGCTCTGCTATCAGTGTAAGCACTCATTTTGTCATGGGGGATGAAATGTTTTCTTAGAAGTTGAGTGAAGGTAGGAATTTAAGTCCCATTTTGTCAATTGCCCTGGTTGGGCTTGCAAATGTGTCATAGACGTAATAAAAGAAAGGAAAATTATTTAGTAAGGTAAAAACATTCAAAAAATAAAGCAAAACAAAAATAAACTGAAAGATAAGCTGATGACAAAATAAAACATAAATATAACAGCAAAATAAAATAATAAATTAAACTTTTAAAAAAATAAATAAAAGAATGAAAAAGACAAAAAATAAAAAAAACAAGAGAATTACAATTAAACAATCGAAATAAATAAAATAATGAAATAAAACAAAAAATAAAATAATATAATTAATTTTAAAATTAAATAATAATAGAATAGAAACATTAAAACCACAAATAGAAATAAATATGTACGATAGTAAAATGCTGTCGGTGAAAACTGTCCAAAAATTGCGTTCAACTTAACGATCCGTTCAAACAGACGCTATACCTACACAGGTTTTTCATCCCACCGAAACAGGTTCCTTCGTTGCTCAGTCGGTAAAGGGTTAGGCTAGTGTTAGGTAGGTCGCAGGTTCGATCCCCGGTTAAGGCAGGAAAATTTCTATCAACAAAATGCCAAAGGAAAGCATCCGCACGTTTCGTATATTTAATGTTTTACGATTTTGGTAGTAGTTGTTCTCGCGAGTAATCATTTTAAAGGGCTCTTTTGCATGTTCCGCCACTCATACTCCCGGGATACAGCCACAGAGAGCGAAAAACACAAAAATGCCGCATTGTGGGCCACGCAGCAAGCGCACGGTGCGCTTCACCACAGCGGGGCCATGCATTCAACAATGCTACAAAGTTACCTCCACAACTTAACACGCACCTTCGAAATTACAATGCTGACATTGTGCGGTACGACGTGGGCAATGTTGGGCCTGTGGGTGACAATGTAACATTGTTGAACGGAGCGGAATCAATGTCGTCAGCATCATTCATTTCTCTCCGTGAAGATGATCGTTGCGAACAGCCTGTCTGTTGATCTTTTCCCATATGTTTAAATGGCAGATCAATCGATACATCGCGAATCACGCCACGCCGCTGGATAAAACGGCGAAATTTGAACATCGGACCGCAATGGTTTCGTTGTTTTCATTGCGTTTCCAATGGGATGACACCATAGTTGCCAA